TGCACTGACATTACTGAGTCTGCTGGCTATATTTAAGCTTGTCACAGGAAAATACTTAATCACAAGGCACAAATATGAACCCTTCAAGGGCTTCTGTCCTGTTTGCAATTGCACCGTGAATAAGAACACTGAAGTGATGTACTGTAAGCTGGATGGCAGATGGTATAGCGATGTCACTTTCACTTTGACGCGTCAAAAATCAAGTTATATTTCTGCCGCTACATTTATGCTACGAAAAGTCTGGATTTTACTGTCGGTCCATTTTGTCCATGTGTTCTTCCATTTTTTCATTACAAACTGTTATTTGTGTTTCGAGCTGCATTGGCTGTGTTTGACCAATCACCGTACACATACATCACTCATGGTTCCTCCTGTGCTGGGAGACTACCTACTCTGACAGAGGAGCTAAAAGAGTCCTCTAAGAACTAACGCCGGATTTCCACTGGATGCGTGTCCGTTGAAGAACGGCAGCGCTGGTTATTCACTGCATGCTCCGCCGTCTGTCAATACCCACCGGCTGCGTTTGCTGTGCGGTGCGGTGCAGCTCCACCGGAAGACATCTCGGTGCACTGCCATGATTAATATCTCCTCGTCCATGGTGTTCACGGGGTGAAATGACATCTGAAAACCTCTGACCTGTTGACTTCAGGCCTGCCTCTGCCCATTATGTAGTTTTTAAGGTGTAGTGCAGGGAAATATGATCCGCCGTGAACACTGTGTACTTATTTTGAAAATTAACCGGATGTTTTATTGTGTTTCTGTGCACGACTTCCTGCCCCGCACGATCTGCTCTGTGCTGAATTGCTGCGTTGTGCTCCAGCGTCTGGCAAAAATAGAAGTCCTGCGTATCTGTTGCGGAGGGCTCCAGAGTGCAAAAGCTGAGACAGAGCAAGAACGCAGCACAGCAGCAGCAGGTGGAAACACACACATTGACTAGAATGGAATCCTATCGGCTCCGCTGCCGTGCCGGAGCGCAGACGCAACCAACACGCATCTGGTGGAAATTGGCCTTAAGATTCTTTCTAGCTCTTACAGTGCAAACACAGCAAGAAGTGAGGTTCTCAGACCTATGAGAAACTTACTCTGTTCTGAAAACGCCTAATTAATCTACTGTTAATATAGTAATATTGATTAGAGCAGCTTTAAAGAAAGTGTTGGGGGTTCATGACATAAAAGCGTTGGACACACTCTGATAGAGGATGGGGGCCTTGGTGGAGCTCCTGAGGAAAGTGTCCACCTTATGAGAGAGTGAGGTCACCCCTGAGGGCAGATGTGAGCGGATGTGGCTGAGATGTGGTGGAGTGGCAGACAGCGAGGTTATCACAGCGATGAGTGCTGAATACTGATGCTGTCTGGAGCGGAAGAGAAAAAGAATATCATCAAAGAAGCAGAGAGATTATCTGAGCTGTTGAGAAGAGGAGATGAGGCAGTGAAAGCAGAGGAGGAGCTGTTTGACCTCTGGACAGATGATACACTAATTACACTACCACATTTACAAACAGTACTAAACATACTGCAGTAATGCCAAACTTGTGTTACCTCTGCTACTATCTTTTTTACCACCCAAGCTCAGGAGGGTTTGAGGGCTGACATGTAGCTAACAGCTCATGTTTGTGTAATAAAATCAATAAGGCTGTCATAAAGCCTTAAACACATTCAGCTGGTGTAAAACACTTGTAGCACAGCTTCATGTTGTGCATTATAGCTTTGTCAATAATCAGACAGCAGAATTCTCTGCAATCTGGATCTGTGCCACAGCTTGATTGAGATGGGCTAACAGGGCTTTACAGAGGTATGTGTGGTCTTGGGAACTCATAACCCAAGACTCATAAAACAAGCTTGAGAAACCTTAAGGAAAAACATGTCTACTTGTACAGAACAATAGCCTAAAAGTTAATATTGTTGGAATTTCCCTTTATTAAGGGACATTTGATATTCAAACTCTTTCCACTGTTTGGATGAGCCTGCAAATACTGTCATTTCTTCATTATAACATGATGATCACATCTATTACATTTATCGCTGTCCCTTCAACACTCTTTCATACAGCTGTAGTGCTACATTTCACAGCATGAACGGCTGTGTAGCCTGATGCAGTGTGAAATACACTGCAAAATGTATCAAGTCATGGACAGTCCAATGTAACAGGCCACTTGGATTTAATTTAGCTTATTTTTTTGTATTTTAGATGTCAGTCCATGAATTTTGCCTGTTAAACAATAGTGTGTTTTTTGTTTAAGCTTCATGAAAGGAGTAGTCCAACCATATAAGTGTGGATTTTGGGAGGGGGGAGTCGGGGACACAGGGGACATGCCTCCCTCAATATTTAGAACATGTGCATTTGCCCCTTTTTTATTGACAACAATACATTTCCACCATAAATTGGTGCATTAAAAATCGCCAGAATGTTGAATGGAATGGAAATTAGGTGTCTGATGCTCAGAATTTCCTGGCAGAGGACCCTCAAACCTTCTGCTTCATATGTGCCCCCCACCCTCAATGTTGAAACAAAACTTAAAAAATCTTAAAGACGCTGTATGTAAGAATGTGGCCAAAACAGTTACTGCACTCAAATTCAAAATACTGCCGCGAGTCGTGTCCGCCCCCCCCCTCCCCTACAGATTCGAGGTTGCTGCTCTGTGCTGAATTGCTGCGTTGTGCTCCGGTGTCTGGCAAAAATAGAAGTCCTGCGTATCTGTTGCGGAGGGCTCCGGAGTGCCGCAGCAGAGACGGAGCCGGAACGCACCACAGCGCAGCCGGTGGAAACACACACATTGACTAGAACTGAATCCTAGACGCAACCAACACGCATCTGGTGGAAATTGGGGGTGATTTGTTTGCCCACGGGCGGCTGCCGTGGCAGGGCCGAGTCGCCGCGTCCTTGATCTTCGGTTTTCCAGCGGGCCGTTAAAGCACGTCCGGCTTCTCTGCCGCTTCTGCCGGGATACAGCTGAGGAGGAGCCGGCTGCTAATGCTATGTACCGGGACACTGCTAATGCTGCTTGCCGTGCTGCTAACATTTGTTTCTCAAAAACATCAGTCGGGTCGATGACCCGCCTGCACATGGGCTACAATGTATGATCGAAAATGAGTAACAGTTGAAAGTATTCGAAATGTCCATCCCCGTCTAGCTATGATGCTAGTTAGCCAACTTTGGCTAAAGCGGACATGTCGAGGAGAAGAGTAGCCACTTCGACATCCGATTTCAAATACTTCTCCGCTTTCAACTGTCTCCACCGATCAAAAGCATCTCCTATATAGACCCTCGCTTTGCCTCGAGTTTTGTCTTGGCGTTTTTTGGGAATCATAACGAGGTTGTTTGGGTTTAGTCACACTGTTAGCCATTGTAGCTCAGTCGTAACTGTAACTGATGCTGAGACTCTACTGACTGCGTGACTGGTAGACGGCGGTGGGTGGTGCAACAGGCCAAAACACAAATTCAAAACATAAACATGATTTGCAGACCGTAAAATGTTTTTTTAAATGCGAATATTCTGGCTGTACTATTGTTGTCGGTGAGATCAGTATGTTATATGAACATTATTCCTTAGTCTCTGTGACATATTAGGAGGATTTTACGACTATTTGCTTTAGATGTCTTACATATAGCTCCTTTAATTAATTCAATTTGCATGCACCTGTTTAAGTAGTTCCAACTCTGGCCTCTTAAAGTATATCCTATGAGTCTTTTATAATCTGACAAACTCAATTTGTTTAGGACAACTAATATGATTTGCCTTGACCTCGAAAAACTTATTATTATTATAATATTAATCTAAAAGTTGTGTTGATATTTAGGGATCAAACTATTTCATTTAAGATACTCTAACTTATTTACTTTAATTCCATCCTACTCACTGATTTTGACAACATCTTGAAATAAGTTGTCAACTGACTAAATTACATTAATAAAACTAACGTAATTTTTTATGGTGAAAAACTTCCTTTTTTAAGCGCTATCCATGAACCCCATGGATCATTTTTTAGCGTGCATCTTGTCGCACCATCCACCATCCTCTTCACCTCCTGTTGACAAAGCTAGCTTATATATTACATCACTTTAGAAACACTGAATTGAAATGTAATATTTTCATGGTTTGCACAATGTACAATTCCAAAATTCTCTTCTGGCGACTGGGCTGCTTTACAGTGTGGATAAACTTGTTGGAAGAGTTTCGTAGAATCAAGAGTGATGCATGTTTTTGTGCCATGGTTGAAGATAAAATATGTCTTTCAAAGCTCTGAGTGTGTTACATGATACTGGTAGAGAATTTAGAAGTGAGGAGTTATGTCATGTCATCTGGAAAACTTTCCATTGTTTGAAAAAAAAACAAAACCAAGATTTTTAGACTCAACATGTGCTTAAGTGAGTACACGATGAGAAGTGTAGACAGTACATAATCAGGGCTGCTCCCTCTGTGGCAGTCTCACTGCCAGCTTATGAGAAAGCCTATTTCTGTACGGTGCAGCTGGGACTGGAGATATGAGACTGGAGTGAGGTGAGGTGGATGTGTGAGGGTCAGGGCATCCAGACCGATGCCATTTTCTCACACATCTTAGGTTGTGTGTGTGTGTGTGTGTGTGTGTGTGTGTGCAGTATATCGCTCTGACCTGTCTGGCCTGGAGGTGGTGTGCGTGATAAGCCACTTTCCCTCCTCTCAGAGACCTTACAACCAGACTTTTATCCAAAACATTCCCACAACGTCATGGGAACCAATCCTCTGTACACAAGCTCTGCTTCTCTGAACAGTGTCGTCAAGTCATCCCTGGTTTAAAAGGGAGCATTATCTGTAACAACTGTACCAAAGTGGCACTACGGTGGAGACAATATGCAGTCTGTGTCTTACTTGTGTCTCACCTTGTGCCATCAGATTGGTACTTTTAAATTCCTTTCCTTTCTTTAAATTCCCTTTTCTGAATGTTTCTTTGCATCCTCCAGGTACTTTCAGGTCTACTAAAGAAATGTACACTAATATACACTGTGTATCTTATTCCATCAGGTACCTGGCCAAGCTGTCCTCAGTAGGAAGCATCAGGGATGAGGAAACGTGCGAGAGATTACGAGGCCTCATCCAGAGACAGGTACATACCTTTTCTGGCTGTTGTCATTGTATGTATACTTACAAAATGTATTGCATCATTATTTGTACATCACGTGACAAATGCTCCGTTGGAAATAAAAAAAGAAGTAGTTAAGAGTGAAAGTCTGTGTAAAGAGGCAGGTTGGGGTGGTGGAATGGTCAAACAAACACTGAACTTTCCCCCAGGAGACCAGTGTTTGTGTCCTGGGTGAAACCAATTGAACTTTGATTTATTTTAAGGTACGTTATCATGTTACTCAGTCCCTCAAGGATGTCGTAAAATTGCAATCACAGTAAGAGTATAATTAGTTGCATGATATGTATGAATTTACATTTCCAAAGCCATGCCTCAGTGTGGGAAGAAAAATGCATTACAAATGTGCTGGTGTTACATTTGTAGTGGTTCTCCTATGAAACCACTGTCTGTCCTCGGGTGCTTCTTAATTACAGTTTGAATGTGGATTGTGATATGGAATCATATATTTATTGTTGTTGTAAATTTATTGTATTTCTACAATTGGCTACGCTTTGTCACTGTTGAACTTTCCTACCATCTACCAGATTTTAGAGATTCGGCATTTATTCCGCCAAAACCAAAGGCCATATCTCACAGTGTTAACGAAGCTGAAAAATAATTTGAGTATCCGCCCCATGATTCAGAATTTGCCCCAAAGTTTAATGAGTTCTCTCTTGGTTCATGCAACAACCTTCCACCAGGTTTCATGAACACTGGTCTAGCACTTACTCCTTACTCCTGCTGACAACTAGACAAACATTGGTGGAGATCATGAGAAAGTAAAGCATTTTAGTGTGTCTGTGGCTGATGTAGCTCCTGTGTGTTTCTGCTCCAGGTTCAGATCTGTAAGCGCAGTGTGGAGGTGATGGATGCGGTGCGCCGTGGAGCACAGCTGGCTATAGATGAGTGTCAGTTCCAGTTTCGCAACCGTCGATGGAACTGCTCCACTCTGGAGACCATGCCTGTGTTTGGCAAAGTGGTCACCCAGGGTAAGATTAGACACTGTAGCAAGTCTTGTCATCAAGAAAAAGATACTGATATGTCAGACAGCACCAAAGCTGACTGACGCTAAAACAGATTTTCTACCTGCGAGCATGTCCAAACCCTAAACTATATATATACTTTGATATCACTCAGAACTGTTTCAAAAACTGATTTGATGTGGATTATCCCATTTCATTTTAAAATATTGTGACATTTTTAAGCTGCTTTCCATGTGTGTTGGCTCAACCAGCTCCTGCATGTGAACATCTTGGCTCCTTCACTTAGACTTTAATACACTCTTTATCTGGAGATGTTGTTTTGCCATTCAAAATGACGAGCTCTTTTCAGCTGCATAATGAAACAATGTGACAGTGTGTGTATGTGGGTCTCTGTGTTTGTGTGTTAGGCACCCGTGAGGCAGCCTTTGTGTATGCCATCTCAGCAGCCAGTGTGGCGTTTGCGGTCACAAGGGCCTGCAGCAGCGGAGAGCTGGAAAAATGTGGCTGTGACCACAATGTACATGGAGTCAGTCCAGAGGGTAAGTCTCCCTCTCTCTTTCACACAAACACACACACACATGCAGAGAAAACAGAAGGACCGACGCATCCAATACATTTTAATGCAATAATATGAAAAGACTAAATAATGTGACATTTTAAATACTTATTTTATTTTGAAAAGGCCGGACTGATATAATTGGTTGCATATTAATTATTCCAGTTAAACTCAGTGTGTACAGACAGATCTTTTACAATATCAATATCATGTATTGCTACAATGAACCATCAGTACAGAGGAACTGAAAAGAGGCTGCACATTAGTGTAGTGTTTATGTGATGTTTAAAGTGCAATGACGGAGCCATACAGATAACCACTTCCTGCCTCTATCTTGATATACTGTCACAGGGTTCCAGTGGTCAGGCTGCAGTGATAACATTGCATATGGAGTGGCCTTTTCCCAGTCCTTCGTGGATGTGAGGGAGAGGAGTAAAGGCCAGTCCTCCAGTCGGGCTCTCATGAACCTGCACAACAACGAGGCTGGCAGGAAGGTAAAGTGTGTTTGATGTGACATGTGAATTTACAGGAAAACACTGCACTTCTTTTAGTGTGGAGCGCCCAAAGGGTCATGCTGGCATGGCATTTTTTTTCTGAAATACTTTGCATTACCTTATAATAAATTTTGCATTAACAGGCAGTGACTTTAGTATACCACTTTCACGGGCTCTGTATTTTAGTATCTAATAAAGATGCTCTCTATAGAAGAGAAAAGTTTCTGGATATTAGCTTGGTTTATTAGAAATGGTGAGGACATAGGTTGTTGTGTGCTTCCATACACAGTTGGCTGCAGCAGCAACACTGAAGAAGAATGAAAACTAAAATAGAGCTATTTAAGTCTACTGGAGATGGCACAAGCCAAGTCTCAAGTCATATGAGTCAGGTTTCAAATTATTTTGTGACAAATCAAGTCTTTCAACAGAAGTCAGAGTTAAGTCTCAAGTCCTCCAAGATAAATCCAGGTCAAGCTTTATATCCTTCTAGATAAGTTGAAATCAAATTTTGAGTCATTTAAGACAAGTTGATGTCAAGTCTCAAGTCAAGGCTTACCCTATTACAGACAAATCCAGTGCAGCCATGTTTCAGGTCAATCAAGACAAATTCAAGTTATTTTTTAAGTCATTTGAGACAAGTCCAAGCCAAGTCTCAAGTTATTCAAATATGTCCAGGTCTCAGGTTATTTGAGATAAATTTAATTTAAGGTTCAAGTCATATGAGAGAAGTTCAAGGTAAGTCTCAAGTTATTCTAGACAGGCCCAGGTCAAGTCTCAAGTTATTTGAGACAAGTGCAAGTCAAGTTTCAAGTCAGTCAGATAATGTACAGATCAAGTCTTAAATTCCTCTATAGGAGCTCAATTCACATTTTGAGTACTTCCAGAGAAGTAGAGGTCAAATCCCAAGTGAAGCCTTTAACAGACACGTCCAAGTCAAGTTTCAAGTCAGTCAAAACTAATGCAAGTAATTTTCTTCATTCGAGTCAAGTTCAAGTTAAGCATCAAGTCATTTGAGACAAGTCCAAATCAAGTCTCAGATAAGGCAAGTCCAAGCCAAGTCCCAGGTCATTCAAATAAGTCCAGGTCTCCAGTTATTTGAGGCAAGTCCAAGTCAGGTCTCAACTCATATGAAAGGAGTCCAACGCAAGTTTAAAGTTATTCTGGATAGGTCCAGCTCAAGTCTCAAGTTATTAACACATGTGCAAGTCAAGTCTCAAGTTATCTGAGACAAGTCCATATCAAGTTTTATGTCACTCAGGAAAGTTACGCTTCCAGTTCCATTCCATTCAAGTCTTCTTATGTAAGACAAGTCCAGGTTAGGTTGGAAGTCAGTCAAGACAAGTGCAAGTCAGTTTTTAATTTAGTTGAGTCCATATCAAGTCTCAACGTATTTGAGACAAGTCCATTTCAAAAGACATAAACATACTAGATACAGTTTGTTTATCCTCGCAGCAGTCAAGTCAAACTCAAATCCCAGTTCTTTTTTTTATTTGTTTTGCTCTCATCATACTCAAGTCCAAGTCTCAAGTCCATAGCTCTTGTGTTTTGCTGTAGTTTTTAACTGTAAGCACAAACAGTCAGCATTTAAGAGACGTTGCTATCTACTGCAGCTATCCTTTATGGATATTATGCATTGTCATCACATTATTTCAAGTCCTCTCTGCTAACCAAAGGTTCTTTGACATCTCTGCAGGCCATCTTGTCCCACATGCGTGTGGAGTGCAAATGTCATGGTGTGTCAGGCTCCTGTGAGGTAAAAACCTGCTGGAAAGCCATGCCCCCCTTCCGCAAAGTGGGCAATGTCATCAAGGAGAAGTTTGATGGTGCAACTGAGGTGGAACAGCGCAAGGTGGGCACCACCAAAGTCCTGGTGCCTCGAAACTCCCAGTTCAAACCTCACACAGACGAAGATCTGGTCTACCTGGACCCCAGTCCAGATTTCTGCGACTATGACCCGCGCACGCCGGGTATGCTGGGCACGGTGGGCCGTCAGTGTAACAGAACCTCAAAGGCCATCGACGGCTGCGAGCTGATGTGCTGTGGCCGCGGCTTCCAGACGCAGGAGGTGGAGGTGGTGGACAGGTGCAGCTGTAAGTTCCACTGGTGCTGTTATGTCAAATGCAAACAGTGCCGCAAAATGGTGGAGATGCACACTTGCCGGTGATGGGAGGGGGGCTCAGAGGGCACTGCTGATGAACAAAACAAACGCCCCACACTCCTGCTCAATTGCTAAGGCCAGAGGGAGCAAAAAGGACACGTGGAACTCCCTCTTCTCCTGCTCGAAACCACCCCACCCTCCAACTACTGGTCACAGAAACAGACTGAGTGGCTGAGAGGTCAAATGTCATCCTATTCATTTTATGCCACCTTAATGGATATCAGTAGATTATGCATGGGATTTCCTACAAAGCTACAGAGGCAGTTTGTTTCTTCTCAAGTAGAGATCATCTTTCACTTTCTGTCTCCCTCCCTCACTCTCATATTTGCTTTGTCATTGATGCTTCTTATTTTTGTAATGTTTAACTTATTTGTTGAGACTGAGGAGATTGACGGGGGATGGACCTAGAAGGGGACAGACGAGTGGAGATAATAAAGGACAAACTGGACCCACCTGTGGGCAGATGGGTGGGGTTAAGGGGTTGGGGTGGGGTCAAGAGGAGGGTTGTTTGCCCTCTATCCTTGCTGCTGCTGCTGCTGCTGCTTCGGGGACTCACTTCGAGTGCTGGATGTCAAAAAGGGAGACGCCGAGTCTGTCGGAGGACGGACTTGAACAACAAGGAGGAACGTGTCACAAACAGACTTTCTGTGACTTGCTTCCTGAGTGTACATGGCTGTGCTGCGCTGAGGTTCAGTTGCTGTTGAGTCATTTAATTTGCCCCCTGCAATGCCCTGATGCTGCTCCACTCACTCACTCACACACACACTCACTGTCTTTCTGTCAGAGCGAGGACGATGATGGACAGGTGAAAGCCACTGTCAGCTCCTTCCTGTCTTTTCTGTAGACCCGTAGCACTGGCAGGCGATGGGCATGAAACACACAAAACACACACATACCAAACAAACATTACTCCAAACAGACACCTGTATTTATCCACAGCTGCTACCTGCGACAGCAAACCAGAAACCTTAAATCAAAATAGTTTCCAGATCAGATATTAAATGATTGGTTAGCATTTCAGAACATTGATCTTGGCTTCCTCCTGCACCATCTGCCAAACGCTAGTTGGCTTTAATGCAAACACAAGTAAACACACAGAGACATGCATGGACCAGCAAACATACTCAGTGTAAACACACACATACACAAAGGGGTCTGCCAGAGGGTTGCCGAGCATGTTCACCATGCATGATGACTGAAGCACTTTCTCTCCAAGCGCACATAGAGCCCTCGCCCCACAGCAACCGACATCTGAACACACATTCAGTTCATTCTGTTCCTCAAACACACACACACACACACACACACACACACACACACACACAAACATGGTTTCCCATGCCACTGTCAGGACTATTGTTGTCTTGTACCACCACCATAAAGCCAAGCTTTCCTATAATAACGTGCTATCATTATAGAGACATACTGTAGATCTGTAAAGACTTATACACTGAAGAAGACTATACTGCCTATGAATGTATGTTAATACGGAATATATGCTGTGTCAAAAATGACCGTTGTCGCTTCTTTCAAAAGATACTGCGTGTGTGTGTGTGTGTGTGTGTGTGTGTGAGAGAGAGAGAGAGAGAGAGAGAGAGAGAGAGAAAGAATGCCACCAAAACAATGTTGCCCAGAAGGAAAGACATGAGAACATGAGAGGACAGAAAGATGGAAAGTGAGAGAGAGCAGATCCTATTCCACCACCAAGCCCTGAGACACACACACACACACACACACACACACACAGAGCCCTGCTGACAGACATACACATATTTCAATAAAATCGTCCATTTCCCGTGTCTTTCAGCTGCGTTATTATGTGGCCACAGTGTGCGCTGTGCAGCATTTTGTGTGTGTGTGTGTGCTCTTGTGTGAGGTACATTACACCCCGAGGTCCTTCCCTGCACCCCCGACACCTATAAACACAATTTATGCGCCATATATCATCCCATACAGTATATGAACCAGAGATAAATTGATGTGTTTCCCGCGGTGCTGGGAACCTCGTAGTCTGGTTTTGGGAAGAACCAGAGCGGCTGCTCAGGTTACAGCAACTGCCTGATTGGGTTCGGGCTGAAGAGGGAACAGAGGCAGGAACACCGGGCTAGAACAGGGATTACAGCGAAATGCAGACCACATGGCACAAGCTTTTTCCCTCCTTCTGTCTCTATCAATATCATACTGCCCTCCCCTACTCCAGCCTTCTCGCTTTTTCTCCTGCAATATCTTTGACTTACGCTGGTCTCAGTCTGCTCCCCCTCTGCGGAAAGTGTAACCCTAACCACTCTCGGTCTGCAACGGTGGGGATCTGTCCTTCATTAAGCCACCATGATGGCCTAGATGAGGTGGGTGGTGGTGGCCACACTGATTGGGAATGTCTGTGGGCTTGTGTGTGTGCTCAGTCTGTCAGACAGCCAGATGTACAGTCAGTCAGTCAGTCAGTCAGAGAAGTCTAATGCCTTTTGTGGTTTGCTGCGGTTGTGGCGGAGACAAGAGGCTGACAGTAAGGTTTTACCACTTAGTGAGTGTGTGTGTCAGGGGGGTGAGCGAGTGTGTTGAAATTAAGATGCAGCAAATATGGGTTTATGAAGGCTCGTACAAATATTTGTGGAATGAAACTACTCATAGTCAATATTTTGTGCTAATACCAATTATCAGGCCAAAAAAATGACCCTCAAATAATACTCAAATACACACACTTTTGACAAACATTGGAAATAGTACGTAGTCCACTGAAACCAACTGCTTAATCATCATTATGTCTTTCCCATGTTAGAACTGAATTTAAGAAGTGTGTTTAACAGTGAGTTTAGCCTATAGCTATAAGTCAATTACTAGATCAGGAGGCAGATACGCACAAATGTCGGAAAAGGTTAGCCTAGCACCAAAAGTGCTAGTGCAATTTACTTTGACAAATGTTTTCACAAGTGGGTTATTATTAGCAATAACCTTATTTTGTGTTTTGTACACAGAGATGAGTTGAATTCATGAGCAATAAAACAAGCTACAGTCAGGGATTTTGGTGCAACAGCTACACGATCTGCACTGCAGCCTAGTTTAATAATAACTTAGCTTTGAGTTTACGCAATTCCAACATTTTAAAGTTGCACCAGCTGAAAAAGCTCCAATGTAGGCATAAATTTAAACTTAAATCTTACACTTAACCTTTAGTTGGTGTAAATTTGTCCTCGTTTAGGTACCTTTTTGTTGTTGGGTGATTAATGTTAGCTATTCCTAGCCGTTAGCATCAAGAATAACATTACTGAATTTCACTGATTGACCACAGTATGTGAAAACGTCATTTTCTGCAACAAGATGTTGGTTAGTGTGGACTTTATGCCAGAGTAACTAAGATGAACCTTGCATCTCCATGATGCAGCCAAACACTGATTTTATTTATCATTATATCTAATTTCAATGATGGTTTAGTGTGCACTTTACACCATATCATAGAAGAGAGACCTTGTGCATGTATAGCTGGTGCAACAGGCTGCTGGTAGCTTATGGTTGCTAATGTTGGCTAACATTTGCAAACTTTTGGTAGACATTGGCTTACAATCGACAATACTGTCAGTTCGCCAGGGGTGGGGGGGATCGATACAGCATAATATCGCGATATTTTTGTGTGGCAATATCGTATAGTCACACGGTGCAAGTATTGATTTTTTATCATATAAATTATTAAAGTACAAATTAAACTTTAGGTAGCATACTTAAATAAAAATGAAGTCCAGTAGATACATTTGGCTGCAAATAAAATGACTCAAGTGAGATGAACAGACTGAAAACTTTACCTTATTACATAAACAGGTGTTGACAAAGTTCTCCTTTTGGCACATGATTTCCTGTTGAAAAATAGGTAATAAATTGCAATATGTCTCAATATATTTTATCGCAATACTCAGCATATCACAACATTTTTAAAATCACTTTAATATTGTATCGTGACTTAAGTATCATGATAATATCATATTGTGAATCCTCTGCTGATTCCCACCCCTATAGTTCACTGACTGGTTACAGTGGTGCACCACAATGTAAAAGTTACAGTAGCCAACTTATTATTTTTGGTGAAATATGTCACTTGGGCTGAGTCCTTGGCATCATAATAATGACGCTAATTGTACCCTTTAACATCTGTATGAAATGTACCAATCTTTCAACCAACTCCAGTATAAAACCATACACATCATTATCAGATGTTTAGAGCAACAGATGTAGATTTAAAGCACAGAAGTTCTCCTATGGTGGGCAGAGGGTGGATGGGTCGAACAAGCACTAGAGACCAGTGTTCATGTCCCATGAGAAAGAAAAAGTCACTGAAAATCACCAGAAGTCAAAGTTGAGTTATTTTGTCACATCACTCCGAGGTTACTACAATCTTTTCCTTACCCTAACCAAGTGGTTTCGTTGCCTAAACCTAACTGTCAACCCGAGCTTAGTCAAGTGATTCAACTCACGCAACTTACCGCTGACACCTTCTGTCAAGATGTGCTGACCCTCGCATCAACAGCGCAAAAGGTTTGCCCACAGCGTAATTGCCCAAGCATCAAAATATGACGAATAGGGATGAGATCACTTTGAACCAAAAGACATACACTTAAATAACCCTAATCCTACGGTTTACTGCCCATATTTTAAGATAGATCAGCATCCATTGCAGCACTGTCTGTTTAAGTTGAAACCTGGATTCTAAAGATAAACATTTATTTTTTGCAAGTATAAAAAAACTACAGCCCCAATGAAAATAATCAGCATGGCAGCAGAGGTACTTGCATCATCGTAACTCGTCCATATACATAAAATTCACCAATGCTTTTTCTCCCAACTTTGCAGCTAAAATCTCTGCTGTCTGAAAACCTGTACAGCACTCAGTCCTCTCTGTCCTGCTTTTTACAGACACGTGTGAGCTAAACACAACCCCTCAATTCTCTTAGGGATCGCGTCCTCTGTCAAGCCAAGACATTCAACCTGCAAGGGTTGAAAGCTTATGGAAATTGGTTTCATCAAAGTCTGCTAAAAACACAATTGTTTAAAAAAACATGAGATTTTTTTTTATCTGTTCTTATCCTGACAAATGCCAATGAGATTTTGAATAAGGGTTTTTCACTTCTGGAGAAGCTTCCCCAGGGCATACAAATCAAGGACATTATGCAAATAATGAACTATAAAGGTTAAGAATACAATGGTTTGTCTAATTAGCATGTGTTATTTACATTCACAGGTACAGTTCTGATAAATCCTTCTTGGAGGTATGAGAGGTAATGAGTTAATGACGGTGCAATTTCACCCTTTCACATAAATCTCCCAGCCAATTCTTTCCCCAGACAGGCAGCTAATAGCTCACATTACACCTCAGGTACCTCTGCATACCTTAGGTCAGAGGTTTTCTGACCGTCTCTCTTTCTCTGTTGGTGTGTGTTGTGAGTGTGAAGGGTTAACAGTGCAGGTTGGCTGGATATTAATGCCACTCGCTCAGAGAACCCAGGAGAAGGCTGGCTTTAGCCCAGGGCCCAGCCCTCCCAGGCCTCTCTCAAACTCCCAGATCTCTTCAGCATACTTCTCATATTAAAAGAAAACAAGTTACACAAATGAGACAGATGGTTCTTGTTTGTGATGACAGTTGCAATTCTCTCTCCTGCAGCCCTCCTCCCCTCTTCTTCCCTCTCGGCTTTCCTCTGGTGTCTCCGTCGTTTTTGTTTTTTTTTTTTGCCCAAAAACGGCCACGTTGTGCAACATGAGCGGAGCGGTCGTGAGAATCGGGCTTGTGGGCATCGAGACGTGGACACCGCGCTCCATATCTGACGTGGCTACGTACTGGTGCAGAGGACTTTCTATTAACTGACTGTAGGTTTTATGTCCTTTCTACTGACAAGTGCACATTACGTCAATCAAAAGGTGGGGAAACTGGACCCTCCAGTGTCTTTTCCCCATCTCCACATACACAACAGTATCATCTATGAATTGCATTGTAATGCTTCTATTATGCTACAAATTACAAGTACGAGAAAAGACATGAACCATTAAGCTTCACGCTCGAAAATTCTGTTCTGGAGCTGCAAAGATAAGTCGCTAACGCCAATTACCTGCATATTAACATAATTTATGGAAGAAAAAATGGTTGTTAGAACTTACCTTATGTACATGAAAGACAGGCCAAGAATCAGATAAATGGCTGAATTATGTATAAAGAGTTATGTAGGAATAATCAGCAGAGGAGGGAAAGACTGTTGATCAACTGATTTGAACTCATAGTGGGGGAGAGTTGGGTGACATAAACCCCAGGAGAGGTGGATGAAGGGGGTTGGTGGTTAACTACGAAGAGCGATGTAGGTGACCCACAGCTTACTGTCTGCATTCCTCCTCTGTGTACTGGTACACCCCCATGGATCATGACAGACAGACGGAGACTCAGATCCTCACTCAGCCACAGAATGAAACGGATATGTTGCCTGAAACTTTTTAAAATGAGAACATTATGAAAATTATATAGTTTTTTATTTAACAAACACTA